TTCGGAAGGGGCTCTGTTCCCTTCGCTGTTGACGGGGTGCTAGGGGAGCAGCTTACTCTGTTGACTCTCGCATGGTCCCACAGTTAGTAGGCGCTTTTGGTTGTCTTCCGGCCTCTGGTGGCGGCGGCGGACGGCTTCTTCCCCCTTTGGGGGGTTCAGGGCTGGCGGGGTGGGCTTCTTCCCCTGTGCTTCGTCATGTCATCTTAGTGGGTGCGTTAGACGTGGTCGATCCGCCCGATCCTTCTGGGGTTCCCCTCTGCTCTATGCAGACATGGGCCTGGCGAATCTGCGGTTTCCAATCTGCGCCCTGGATTCTATGCCCTCATCGAAGGACTGTTGTCTCCGGTCTGGCTTCTGTTGGGGCCGGGTGCCTGGATGGTGGCCCTGGACCTCCAGGTCAATTCTTGGCACGTTCTTCTCCAGTTTTCCGGGACTGGCACAGTTGGTGGTGGGGCTTCAGGCTTGCTGCTTTTGTTGCCTTCTCTAGTTTGTAATTGGCACTTGGTGTATTTACGCATCTTTACCGGATCTTGGTGCCCTGTCTGAGTCTGCTTGGGATTCGGTGTCTGGCCCACCTCGACGACTGGCTGGTGTGGGCTCCCAGTCGGTCCGCTTGTCTGCTCACCAGGTGTGTGGTTCTTTCCAGATCACCGGGTTTGGTTTCCTGGTGATCTGGAGGCCGTTCCATCTGTTTCCGTTCCGGGTTCGGACCTGGCTGGGTATTGTTTAGGGCTCTTGGGCCGCTCCTTTTCCTTCCCTCCAAAAGTGTTGCTGCGGCTGTGGTCCCGCCTTCGACTGTTCATGAGGGGGTTCCGGGCTGCTCGGCAGTTGCTCGAGCAGTTGTGCGAGAGTCTGAACTTCGACGTGCTGGTCTGCTCACAAGGTCGGGTTTGGCTTCGGCGTCTGTTTGGTTCCTTCAGAGACTCCCCTTCCGCCTCTCTTGCAATCATTGGGTTCGTTTCTCCGGGGATCTTGTGTTGGTGCTGCGTCACCAGCTTCCTCTTTGGGGTTTTCGGGGTTCCGTGCCTTGGCACCTCCCCGAGCCTTCGTTCAATGTGTTCACGGACGGGTCATCTCTCGGCTGGGGCTTTGTGACCAGTGCTCACCAGGTCGGCCGGGGATGGTGGGGTCTGTCCGTCCGTCGGGCTCACAGCACGGTTCGGGAGTTCGTGGCTGTCTGGTTTGCGCTTCGGAGGGTTCGGGTCACTCGGTGCTCTACCATTCAGCTCCATTCGGACTGTTCTCTGGCGGTTCTTTGCCGGAACCACAGGGTTTCTCTTAGGTGTTTGCCTTTGGGGTTGGTCCCTTCGAGTGGCTCGTTTGCTGGATTCTCGGGGTTTGGCTAACTGTGAGGTTCATGTCCGGGGTGTGTCCTACGTCCTGGCGGACAGCCTGTCTCGGTTCATTCCTCTGTTCGCGGATTTACTAGTCGTCGCCGACTCGTTTCATTGCCTCTGCCGGACGTATGGACTCCTGGTAATGAACATCTTCGAGTCGGCGTGGTCTTCGTGTCGCCCATTCTATGTGGCGCCCTTACCTGCCTGCGAAGCGTTCACGGTGGATGCCTTTCGGCAGGACTGGTCAAGGTTGGGGTACCTGTTCCTCTTCTCCCGGTCCAGCTGTTGCTTCGGGTTCTGGCTCGGTTGGAGCCCATTCCCAAGAGAGTAGTCCTCATGGTCCCTTGGTGGCCGGCCCAGCTTTATTTTCAGACGATGCTTGATAGGTGTCCGAACCCGGGGCGTTTTCCCGCGGCTCCGCCTCTTTCGGCAGGTCGGACCGGTCCTGTACGTGACTGGTTCGGCCTTCTCCTCGGCTCTTCGCGTCTGGTATTTTGACGCGGGTATCACCATCTCTGTGGTGATCAGGTGGCTTTGTTGATGGTGTCCCACCTGCGAGCTTCGTCTCGGCGACAGTATGATGTTCCTGGTGTTTCTATGCACCTTTTTCTTGCTCTTCGTAGGTCATCTTCTCTTTCGCATCGGGTTGTCTTGTCCTTTCTTGGGTTTTCAGGACTACAGTTATTTGATGTTTCTTACTGTCGCCTCGTTTTGTGCGGCGCTGGCGGAGCCGCTCCGGCTTGCGTTCGGGGTGGACGTCACATCTGCCCCGTTCCGTACGCTTTCTCGTGTTTTGTTTCACCTCCGGCCTGCTCATGCGTCGCCTGAGCCGTCCTGGTCCTTGATCAGGGTGCCCTCTTATCTTGATCAGGGTGCCCTCTTATCTTCTCCTCAGTTTGTGGTAGCCCCTTCGGTTCAGGTTTCTGCTCTATGGTACTGGTGCTAGGTTTGTACGTTTGCAGCCTTTCTCCGTCCTTCTGGCAACGGTCGAGACGGTTGCTTACCGGGGGGGTAGGGTCCTTGGGTTATTGATGCTTGATTGGTTCGGCCGGGGGTGCGTCCTGTGTTGTCCGGTTGCGCTTTTTGCCGTTACCTGCGTACCGTGTCTGGGGATGCACTTTGGGTTGATCCGGTTCCCTGTTTCAGGGCTCGGGTCTCCCAGGTCGTCCGCAGAGTTTTTAGGTCCTCCAACCTGCGGTCTATCCTTGCGCCCGTGCTGTTCGGACGTTTGCAGCTTTCGCTGCTGTATTGGTGACGTCTAGGACTCATTTCGGGCACGAGGATTTGTGGGTCGCACAGGTTCCTGGCCGCCCGTTCTTTATGCGCGCGTCTGCTCCTGTGCGTTTTTGTTGCCTTGGGTCACAGGTTGCAGCCTGTTGTCTCGGCTTCGCGTTGCGGAGTTTGTGGCGGCCGCCTCCCGGGTCAGCCCTTTCTTTTCCTTCTCTTTGGGTATGAAGCTCCAGGGAGCCGTAGGGGCTCCCCACAGAAAACCAGCGTTGAATGTAATGAAACGCCATTTTCTGGGTGAGCCCCGGAGGCTCCCTGGCAACCCTCCCTCCCACCGGTCGGCGTTTTTTTCGCGTTGGTTGAAGCTTAGCTTCCGAACTGATGCTAGGCAGCCGGCGCGGTGAGGTCCGGGGCTCCCCCCCTCCCCTCTCGGGGCGGGGAGGGCTGCGCGGACGATCGGCGCGGCAGTAAAGTGTGATGTTTGCTTGTTTCCTTGGGATTGTAGGGAGTTTCTACCTCTCTGTTCGGTTTTTTGTTTTAGTTTTTTACCATGTGGGGTTTGTTTTGTTATGCCTACCTTTCTGGGTGCCTAACCCCGGTCGATGGCAGATAAGGAAAACCCCAACCACAAGGGGGTTTTCCAGGGCCATTGCTCCCTGAAACCTCTCTGAAGGGGCCAGGTTCTGGCGCTGGTCCCTGGTAGGTCTGAACTCCTTAGCTAATGTCCCGGTCTAATATAACATACATTAGCCCGATAAGCTCCAGGGAGCCTCCGGGGCTCACCCAGAAAATGGCGTTTCATTACATTCAACGCTGGTTTTTTGTACTGAGTGAGCAACCATGGGTGGCGCACGCGGCTCAGGCTCCCAAACACCTGTTCGACGCGGTTTTGAAATATCGCGCTCTGTTGGTGAAATTCAAACATTGTTTGAAGAACATAAGAGTCATAATATTGATGAAGCTAGGAGCAATAAGGACCTAACACAAAGGTTGGATGCCAGTGATGCAGCACCTATGAGGACGATACAGTGAGCGTATCCAATTGTAGCTCTAAGCGCCACCCTTGCCCTACCTATGCTATCTCCAATTTATTTAGATGATACATAGATGAATCATTTTCTGCGTTTAGTGATGATCAGTGTTCGTCGTTCAGCGACGACCAGGGAGCTGGTCGGCCGAGCAGACAGCTCACTGGACTTGTGATCCTGTGATCACTGGACTTGTGATCGGGCTCGATCCCGGGCGCCAGCGAGGAACGATGGGCAGAGTTTCTTTCACCCTATGTCCCTGTTACCTAGCAGTAAATAGGTACCTGAGAGATAGTCAGCTGTCACGGGCTGCTACCTGGGGGTGGAGGCCTGGTCAAGGACTGGGCCGCGGGGACACTAAAAAAGCCTCGAAATTAACTCAAGATAACCTCAAGATGATCCATCTGATAAAAGTAGCATAGAGCATAGATGAACAGTGTTAGCGGCTTCCATGGTGGTGTTTTCCATAGATATTTTCAAGAATAGCTGAATCTCTTCTTGACTGACGGACACAATTTGAGGCTGGCTGAATCTCTTCCTGTGTGGGACCTTACAAAGTGATTTTTTCACGACTACCTTACAAATTTATCTTTTCCTGTAATCTTTTTCAAGACTACCTTAGTTTTACAAGCTTGGCTACATACCATCTACAGGTACTAATGCCAAGGGTGTACGTGAGTGCATTATTTGCAAGCACACAGAACGAAGAAACAGGAGGCGAAAATCTATCTGTACCTGGTGTAACGAGAGCGAAGTCATGCTGTGCACCATGGACTACTTCGTTGATTATTACTCACTTTCGAAGTACTGAGTGTGTAATACAGAGTGTTACTGTGTAAATAGTGTGTGAAACTGTACATATTGTAATTTTAGTGAATATTTAACAAGTAATATTGCGAGAATAAATATTTATTGTGGACACATTACTGACATATGTATCACAGTTCCATGGAACATTATGAACGTTCTACTGTATACATATTGTAAAGGACACAAATATGCATCATATATGATAAAAAACAAATAAAACTGCATTGGAAATACATAAAACAAATAATTGAAAATATATTTGTGGCAACACCCGGTGCTTGAATGCCCTGCGTGACTGTCTGGGCGTGTCACGCATGGGCGACCAGCCCCAGATGACATCACAGCACACTTTTTTTTTTTTTTTTTTTTTTTTTTAACCTTGTCCACGTCCCTACAGCAAAGGTAAGTGGAATTTGGTATTTATTTTTACATAGACATATTTAGGGAAGGGAATTTATTATTTTATGAAGAAAAAATAATTTTGGGGAACACACTATTTCATGCGCACGGGGAGTTTCACAATAAACTCGGCACAGCAAGGTGGTTAAGGGTTAATTTATCTGTCTAATAATTTTTTTCTCATTATTCTATTGAACAGGGAACTGTATGGACACCATCGAAGATTATAGCACGTCTAGGTACTGTAATCAATGATCCATCAAGTATTGCATTCTGGGCAGCTAAAAACAAAATCCCAATCTTCAGTCCTGCACTAACAGATGGTAGTTTAGGAGACATGATGTACTTCCATGGCATTAAGAGTCCAGGTCTTATTGTAGATATTAATGGAGGTAGGTAAAATATTTCCTTCTCTTACTGTACAGTACTTTGAAAGCAAATAAATTAATACCTTTTAATTTAATTTAAAATACAATATTTATTATATATATATATATATATATATATATATATATATATATATATATATATATATATATATATATATATATATATATATATATATATATATATATATATATATATACATATATACATATATACATATACAGTATCCACTCAATTTAATGGCCTATATGGGGCTGTACCCTGGTCGTTATTTCCGGAGTTCTGGTATTTCCGAAGTTAAGATGTCGGTAATTTTTCAAGTAACATTCAGGTAGGATATACTTTGTACTGTATAACAAGTGGACCACACAACAAGTGAACCATATAAACCAAACACCTCCTTCCCTCCCTCCCTCAATGTCTTCCATCCCCTCCCTCATTATCTTCCCTCCCTCCCTCATTATCTTCCATCCCCTCCCTCATTATCTTCCATCCCCTCCCCTCATTATCTTCCATCCCCTCCCTCATTATCTTCCATCCCCTCCCTCAATGTCTTCCATCCCCTCCCTCATTATCTTCCCTCCCCTCCCTCATTATCTTCCATCCCCTCCCTCATTATCTTCCATCCCCTCCCCTCATTATCTTCCATCCCCTCCCTCATTATCTTCCATCCCCTCCCTCAATGTCTTCCATCCCCTCCCTCATTATCTTCCATCCCCTCCCTCAATGCCTTCCATCCCCTCCCTCAATGCCTTCCATCCCCTCCCTCAATGCCTTCCATCCCCTCCCTCATTATCTTCCATCCCTTCCCTCATTATCTTCCATCCCCTCCCTCATTATCTTCCATCCCCTCCCTCATTATCTTCCCTCCCCTCCCTCAATGCCTTCCCTCCCCTCCCTCAATGCCTTCCCTCCCCTCCCTCAATGCCTTCCATCCCGTCCCTCATTATCTTCCATCCCCTCCCTCATTATCTTCCATTCCCTCCCTCATTATCTTCCACCCCCTCCCTCATTATCTTCCACTCCCCTCCCTCATTATCTTCCACCCCCTTCCTCATTATCTTCCATCCCCTCCCTCATTATCTTCCATCCCCTCCCTCACTGGGTTCCTCATAACATGAGAACAGCAGGCGATGGAGGAAGGAGCTACTAATGGGGTCGAGGCCTGGCTATTCAGACATGTCTGTCAGCGCCTGCTCGCAGATGCCAGCTGTGCATAATTCATAAATAAAACTATATTTGTTTGATTAATAAATAGGAAATTATAAAACATGTTATCGATTAATAATGTATAGTTATATACGAAAATTAACATATTTTGGCATAAATATTTTACAACTACGATTACAAAATTTAATACAGTATGGTGTGAGAGGTTTGGCACCATCGCCTTGGTCAGCAATTCTGCCCTCCGCCTTCCTTACTATCACCCCTCTCCCTGCCTCCCTCAACACCACCCCCCTCCCTACCTCCCTCAACACCACTCCTCTCCCTGCCTCCCTCAACGCCACTCCTCTCCCTGCCTCCCTCAACACCACTCCTCTCCCTGCCTCCCTCAATGCCACTCCTCTCCCTTCCTCCCTCAACACCACCCCTCTCCCTGCCTCCCTCAACACCACTCCTCTCCCTGCCTCCCTCAACACCACTCCTCTCCCTGCCTCCCTCAACACCACTCCTCTCCCTGCCTCCCTCAACACCACTCCTCTCTCTGCCTCCCTCAATGCCACTCCTCTCCCTTCCTCCCTCAACACCACTCCTCTCCCTGCCTCCCTCAACACCACTCCTCTCCCTGCCTCCCTCAACACCACTCCTCTCCCTGCCTCCCTCAACACCACTCCTCTCCCTGCCTCCCTCAACACCACCCCTCTCCCTGCCTCCCTCAACACCACCACTACCCCTGCCCCCCTCAACACCACCCCTCTCCCTGCCTCCCTCAACACCACTCCTCTCCCTGCCTCCCTCAACACCACCCCTCTCCCTGCCTCCCTCAACACCACCACTCCCCCTGCCTCCCTCAACACCACCCCTACCCCTGCCCCCCTCAACACCACCCCCTCCCTACCTCCCTCAACACCACTCCTCTCCCTACCTCCCTCAACACCACTCCTCTCCCTGCCTCCCTCAACACCACCCCTCTCCCTGCCTCCCTCAACACCACTCCTCTCCCTTCCTCCCTCAACACCACCCCTCTCCCTTCCTCCCTCAACACCACTCCTCTCCCTTCCTCCCTCAACACCACCCCTCTCCCTTCCTCCCTCAACACCACTCCTCTCCCTGCCTCCCTCAACACCACCCCTCTCCCTGCCTCCCTCAACACCACCCCTCTCCCTTCCTCCCTCAACACCACCCCTCTCCCTTCCTCCCTCAACACCACTCCTCTCCCTGCCTCCCTCAACACCACCCCTCTCCCTGCCTCCCTCAACACCACTCCTCTCCCTTCCTCCCTCAACACCACCCCTCTCCCTTCCTCCCTCAACACCACTCCTCTCCCTGCCTCCCTCAACACCACCCCTCTCCCTGCCTCCCTCAACACCACCCCTCTCCCTGCCTCCCTCAACACCACCCCTCTCCCTGCCTCCCTCAACACCACCCCCCTCCCTACCTCCCTCAACACCACCCCTCTCCCTGCCTCCCTCAACACCACCACTCACCCTGCCTCCCTCACCACCACCCCTCTCCCTGCCTCCCTCACCACCACCCCTCTCCCTGCCTCCCTCACCACCACCCCTCTCCCTGCCTCCCTCACCACCACCCCTCTCCCTGCCTCCCTCACCACCACCCCTCTCCCTGCCTCTCTCAACACCACCCCTCTCCCTGCCTCCCTCACCACCACCCCTCTCCCTGCCTCCCTCACCACCACCCCTCTCCCTGCCTCCCTCAACACCACCACTCTTCCTGCCTCCCTCAACACCACCCCTCTCCCTGCCTCCCTCAACACCACCACTCCCCCTGCCTCCCTCAACACCACCACTCCCCCTGCCTCCCTCAACACCACCCCTCTCTCTGCCTCCCTCAACACCACCCCTCTCCCTGCCTCCCTCAACACCACCACTCTCCCTGCCTCCCTCAACACCACTCCTCTCCCTGCCTCCCTCAACACCACTCCTCTCCCTGCCTCCCTCAACACCACCCCTCTCCCTGCCTCCCTCAACACCACCCCTCTCCCTCCCTCCCTCAACACCACCCCTCTCCCTGGCTCCCTCAACACCACCCCTCTCCCTGCCTCCCTCAACAGTACCACTCTCCCTGCCTCCCTCAACACCACCCCTCTCCCTGCCTCCCTCAACACCACCCCTCTCACTGCTTCCCTCAACACCACCCTTCTCCCTCCCTCCCTCAACACCACCCCTCTCCCTGCCTCCCTCAACACCACCCCTCTCCCTCCCTCCCTCCCTCAACACCACCCCTTTCCCTACCTCCCTCAACACCACCAATACTTTCCCTACCACCACCCCCAACACTCTCCCTGCCTCTCCCCCTCAATGCCTCCCTCCATCAATCACTGCCTCCCATCCCTCCCGCAAGGCCTTGGAGGTCGGTGGCCTGTTGCCACGTGAGGGGCCGCCGATGCCAAAACAAACTCAATATCGACCGCCAGACTGGTATATGAGGGTCCCGATACCGATCTCCCAAACCGGTCGTTATTACCGGCAGATCGGTATAAAAGAGACCGTTAAATTGAGTGGATACTGTGTGTGTGTGTGTGTGTGTATCATACCTAGTAGCCAGAATGCACTTCTCAGCCTACTATGCAAGGCCCGATTTGCCTAATAAGCCAAGTTTTCCTGAATTAATATATTTTCTCTAATTTTTTTCTTATGAAATGATAAAGCTACCCATTTCATTATGTAAGAGGTCAATTTTTTTTAATTGGAGTTAAAATTAACGTAGATATATGACCGAACCTAACCAACCCTACCTAACCTAACCTAACCTATCTTTATAGGTTAGGTTAGGTAGCCGAAAAAGTTAGGATAGGTTAGGTTAGGTAGGTTAGGTAGTCGAAAAACAATTAATTCATGAAAACTTAGCTTATTAGGCAAATCGGGCCTTGCATAGTAGGCTGAGAAGTGCGTTCTGGCTACTAGGTACGACATATATATATATATATATATATATATATATATATATATATATATATATATATATATATATATATATATATATATATATATATATATATATATATATATATATATATATATATATATATATATATATATATATATATATATATATATATATATATATATATATATATATTTATTTATTTATTTATTTATTTATTTATTTCTGGGTGAGCCTCCGGGGCTCACCCAGAAAATGGTGTTTCATTACATTCAACTCTGGTTTTTTGCTTCTTGGTATTCAGAAGGGATCTTTTCCCCCTCCATCTCTTTCAAATTTGAAAACTCAGATGTTTCCTTAGGCAATATTCAGCTTTCACAAGGATATGACCAAATGACAGTCAGACCAGTTGGGTATGGGTATAAGTTCCCAATGTTGAGATCCTTTCAATCACCATCACCCCAGGCCATTAACCCTGGGGCAGCTTCAAACAAATTTTTGGGCTTCTAAAAGTGACAAAATGTCTTTCCTGAGTGACGTGAATGAGCCTAGAAATCTCAGTGACATCATCAAACTTGCTCGTTCATGCAGTGTGCGTCCCCATAGTGTCACATGTGGCATTCAATCAGCCAGAGTTGCCTCAAACTTATTCATGATTGCGACATTATTTACAATGTCTAGGATGTATTTTAGCACAATTTTTCTGTGGGGAGCCCCATTGCCTCCCTGAAATTATCATCACTGATTAGGTGCCTTATTACCAAGCATCATCAGTTGTAGAGTTCTTTGTGCCTACCGGGAACCACGAGCCAGAACCTGGTCCCCTCAGAGAGGCACAGGAAGCAATGGCCTATGATGACTTTACATTTAAAGGATGTCATATGTGCCACAACCAATGAAAGACACCCAGAAAGATAGGAAAATCAAAACAAACCATGCCTGGTTTAGAAATGTGACCAAAGTCCCCCAAAGTGCCAAAAGAACTCCCCCAATAACTAAAGAAACAACAAAACATAGGTAAACTAGCTCACTGCCAGTTTCCTCACTCCTTTTTTTCCTTGCTGGGGGGAGGGGGGATGGGAGGTGCCAACTGCCTTCAGTTCTTCGTAATGTGTCACCGAGCAGTTGTGTTGCTCTGGCTCCAATTCCTCATTTTCTTTGGTGTTCTCTTGCCTTTTGGCAGTGTTTATACAGAAGTGTTTGTGAGCCAGGAGTTTTAAGTGTGCATGTGGTCAGGGTTTTCTTCCCTGTGCATTCAGTGAGTGCTACCTTTGCATGTTCAGGGTTTTCTTCCCTGGGGCATTCGGGGTATGCTTCCTTTAGAGAGGCCTCCTCCCTAGAGGCTGGTCCTTGCCTTTAAGGTAACCCAGGGGTCTTGGGATTTCTGTCTCGCCTGGGGTTTGAGGTCATTTTCGGCTTGTGGGGCGCACTGCGGTTGCTCAGCCTGCAGTTTCCACAGATGTTCTTGAGCGTGCCAATGCTTCTCCAAGGCTGCTCGTTTGCCACAGTCTCGTCTTGGGTTTTTTCTTTTTATTGTATTTTGTAGTTTTCCTTGTGTCCTTCCTTTCACTTTATTAGGGCCTAACCTAGAGTGTATGCAGCTAAACCCCGTTACTGTCCCCCTTGACTTTTCCTTAGGCTTTGGGTGATCTGGTTGCCTGTATTGACAGGGTTTCTGGTGCTGCAGCCCCCAGTGCCTGGGCTTCCTGCAAGACTCATTCTCCCTGCAGGCCCCGGAAAACCCCTTCGGGTATGGATACCTCTTCCGAGCCCGCTCTCGCCCTGTGTGAATTTGAGGGTTTTGTCCCAGGTGATACTCAAGAACGTTCATTCTTTCAGCCTCCGCCATGCTGCTTGTTAGGTCAGTGACACCTACGACACAGAGTTGTGTGGGACTTGTTCCCTCCCATGTCCTCACGATCACCCAGTCTTCTGTGGAAGACTAGAAGTTTCAAGCAGAACGGGTTTTGCATCTGCGGTTTTCAGTCTTGCAACTTTGTGTGCCCGGATGACTACCTTGGATCTGGTCCGTTTGTGTTTTAGGGACTTGGAATTGGAGACACTCTACCTTGGTTCCGTCTGCACCTCCTCTTCCCTCTCCGGTAGGTTTGGTTTACCCCCCTTTCCCCCCTTCCCCCCCTGCGTCCTCAGGGAACAAAAGAGAACAAGAGGGTGATGAAGACTGCAGAGCCAGGGCCCATGCCGAATCTAAGGAGAGAGCTAGGACAACCCTCCAACACGCAAGGCAAGAGGAGGAAAAACATAGAAATCGCCTCCCAGAGGATCAGTACAACTAGTTTCGGAATGGCAGATGAAGTCTTGGCAGCTGAGACCCACAGTCGATGACCCCTCACCCCCACGTCCTCCGAAAGCCAATCCAAAGACAACTCCAGAAGACCGAAGCCAAATGACCATGTGACCGGTGGTCTTCAGCCGACGAAGCAATTGAAAGAGTGGGCACCTGAGCATGAAATTGCTCCAAACCTACATCACGAGGAAGCGCAGGAGCGAAGAGGCAAACATTAAGGAACTCAACCGAGCCCCCCTAAGAACACCTGCAATACTGAAGAGACCTCCCACCACTCAAGCGTGCGGGAATGACAAAAACCATGCCAAGCCCCCAAAGAGAAAAGAGTGCAGTTTGCCAGCCAGGAAGACTCCGGAACTTCGTAATGCACCCAATACAGAGAAGAAGAGTCGAACTTAAAAGAAGCCGGATCCATCACAAAGGCAAAAACCGGGTCTTGCAGAAGGTATGCACCTAGAGCCTCACGAATATCCCCAAAAGAAATCCTAGAAGAAGGAAACTTCCGGAAGGACAAATCCAGGGAACCTAAAGGTACCCATTAATGAATTGAAAGGGGAGAGGATGGGGGGAGAGCTGCACCTAACTCAAACTCAAAGAGGGACGGGGGGGTTAAAAAAAAGAACCTTCCCTGCAGCAACAATTCCTGCCCAGAAGGCACAAGTACCCAAGTAGGGTCAAGAGGAGCCCAAGCACTCAAGCGGACTCCCCCTTAGCCCCGGAACCCCTGACAGTGGCCCTGGGGAGGTCCACTGTCGGGGGTGCACCAAGCCCTCTTCTATGCCCACCACCCCAGAAGACAAGGTAGAGTCAAAGGGAAAGGCTTCTGAGAAGGAAGGCAGCTGGAATAAACCAGAAGCCTCGGCTGGCTCAACAACCTCCGCACCCGAAACGGAAGGGACAACCCCCGAAGCCACAAGAGCCTCATCCTAATTTATACCCTGCCCTGACTCTGCAATCCTTAGACATTTTGGAGCCAGAATCAGAGGGAAAAGAGCAGGGCGAACCACGCCCACCTGGGAGGGAAGCAGGGGCACAGACAGAACCAAGGTCGAAGTGACCCCCCCCCCAAATCCTGCTCCCTAAAACCCAAATGGGGCAGCTCCAGGGCCTCCAATTGGGCAATCAACCTGGCGCATTGTAAGGAAGAGAAGCGAGCTTGCAATGCAGCCGCAGCCTGAAACCTCTCATCCAGAGATGAGGAATCTGTGAACTGAAGTACAAGCAGAGAACATGTCTTGCAAGACTCCGGGTCGAAGGTGTCACCGACCCAACAGGCAGCATGACGGAGGCAGAAAAGGTGATCGTCACCCCACGGCAGGGGTGCCGAACTACTGTCAACATGCAAAAGGCGAGAGTGGACTTGGACAGATCCATGTTACCAGCCTAGCCCACGAGGGTTTACCTGGTTGATACCTGGCTGATGGGGTTCTGGGAGTTCTTCTACTCCCCAAGCCCGGCCCGAGGCCAGACTTGACTTGACGTTTACCAAGGACCGCAGGGTACATTATCCCTACAGGAAGCACCAGCACTGTGGCTCGCTAAGCCGGTAGACCCCCCTGCTTGAAAGCTGGTAAACTGACACCCAGTAGCAGTGGTCGAACCTCTGGGACAGCAGAGAAGGAGACCCAACACAACCTAGGCTAACCTAATAAGCTGCAATGCAGACCCTCTTTATCCAAAACAGGGCAAACACCCACAAAGAAAAGTAATTAGCCCTGAAACAACACTTCAAGCAAACTGGCTGTCGGAGAGAAACGTCAGCTGTCACAATGTTATAAGCAGACTGCAATCCACAGTGCGCCCTCCCCAGCCAACAATGCTTCCCTACCTGGGGCAAGATGGAATGCAAAAGATCCCCAATGTATCCCAAGGGCAGAGACAACGTCAAGCAACGAAGCACTCAACAGGGAGCAAGTCCCAAATGCCCAGGGAAGTAACCCTGATGCGCGTGGGTAGTACTTACGGAGCACCCTATGAAGGCTCCCATGCAGCTCCGAGCACAAAGAGCACTTGGCTAACACCCCACACACACAGATGGCACTGCCACACAAGGCAAAATCCAGACAGGAAAGTGAGGCCAGAGGTGTCCTGTGACCACCAAGCACAGATCACAGGATGGGTGGGGTGGGGGGGGGGGGTGAAAGAGCCTCTAACAAGCTGGAGTACTAGTTTGTGCACAGAGTTACTAGTTTCTTCATTTCTTTCTCTTTGTGAAAAGTTCTTCACTTTTTCGGGTGGTAGATTCCATTTTACCAGCTTACTTGTTTTAGAGCTCCTGTCTCTGGGACACTGCCCTGATCAATGGCAGAATATAACAAGATATGTACATGTAGAGTGCTCATACGCCATTGCTCCCTGCGCCTCTCTGAGGAGGCCATGTTTTGGCACATGGTCCCAGGTAGGATAAGAACTCCAAGTGACTGATGACCCCAAACTAATAAAGCACGTAATCAGTTTGAATAGCTTCAGGGAGCCTCCGGGGCTACCCCCAGAAAACCAGCGTTGAATGTAATGAAACGCCAGTTTCTGGATGAGCTTGGAGGTTACTTGAAGCTGTCTTACTGATGAAGTGCCATATTAGTTGGAGTCAATAGTCACAGAGTTCTTGTATGCCTGCCAGGGACCATAAGCCAGAACTTGGCTCCCCCTCAGAGAGGTGCAGGGAGCAATGGCTCATGAACAATTTACATTTAAAGTATGTCATCTTGCCATCGACCATGGAAGCACCCAGAAAGGTAGATAAATCAAAACAGACTACTGCAGGGTTGAAAAATGAGACCAGAGCCTTCAAAATGTCAAAAGAACTCCTTCAACAAGAAAACAAAGAAGCAAGACTTTGTCAAACCAGCCCCCAACTAGTTCCTTTTGGAACTAGAGGTGGAGGAGGTGGTTCCAAACCACCTCCTTTTTGGTGGGGGTAGGGGAAGGAGGGGAGCCAGCCTAGATCAGCTGAGTCTTCCTTCCCCTTCAAGTGTGGTTTGCCCTTCCTCTCTTCCTCGTCCCTGCTTCTGGCCACAAAGTGTCCAAGGGTTTCGGGGTCAGGGCAGGGTTTATCTCGGGCTGTGGCTCGGCCAACTTTGTGGGTTGCCCCTTCCAATTCGAGTGCAAAGGCAGTCGAGCCAGCTAGTCCCACCAAGTTCTCCTTTCAGGTCCCACTGGGTTCTCCATTCAGCTTTATGAGATGGGGAGGGGAGGGGGAAAATGGAAGTTCATTACACACACACACACTTTATGCCCATCATGCCCAGTTTTGTTTGCTTTTCTTAAATAGCTCTGTCCATGTTTCTTATAATGCTACATGGAATTTAAACAACCTTGTCTTACTTTTAAACCTATTTAAAAGCTTTGTCTCCCATTTACCCTTGATTGAGAATTATGACATTTCAGACTTACGCAAGATAAATCAGTTTGCCAAGAAATCCTTGAACACAGGGATGATTATTGTCGGTGGGGGCATCATCAAACATCACATCTGTAATGCCAACCTTATGGTAAGACAAATTACCAGTTAACACTGGCTTTATTCCCAAGAGTAAACCGAGGTTAAGCATGCTGCCGGATTGCCATTCTTAAATGTTTATTATAATTTACCCTTTAGCTATCTATTTCCATATTTTGTTTTCTGGGAGAGCCCCCTCAATAGCTTCTTTGCAGACGTTGAGGTCACAATACTGTGGCTGAAGATATGATGACCAAACCACACATCACAAAGTGAAGAAACGACGTTCAGTCCGTCCTGGACCATTATTATTGCTGTGGGAAAGAAGAGAGGAAGGTACAGGCAGATATAAGGTAAGAGAGTGAGGTGAGGAGCAGGTAAGAGAAAGGTAAGAATAGGATGAATGTAAGAATAAGGTGGGAATAGGATGAATGTAAAAATAAGGTAGAATAGGATGAATATGAGAATAGGATGAACATAAGAATAGGATAAATGTAAGAATAAGAAAAATAGGAAGGTAAGAATAAGAAAAGGGGGTAGGAATAAGCAACAGAGGCAATGTTTAAATCAGATCATGTTAATTAATAAGAAGGTTAGAGCACTCAAGTATATACTGTGAAAGGGAAGAGTCAACACCAACAAAGCCAGGACTAAGGTTCATTTTGGGTAGGCTGTGTATCAGAGTCAATCCAACACAATGGCATCTGTGAAGAGTAGAGGCACAAAAGATTACCTTAGAAGAAGACCAATCACTGGATGATTAGAGTCCCTAACTTGACAGAAGAGCGCATTGTTTGTGCCTGCAGACTTAACACTTCTTTTGTGTTCCTTCACCACTGCACTGCGCAACACACCTTGAAGCTCTTAATGGGTTGTGCGCAATGCGCCTCAAGGATCTCATAGGGATAGCGTACGATTCAAAGCTGACACGTGGGGACGCGGGTACGAAATGCATGCCTGAGGCTTCCAGTGATCGTCTGCCATTTTGACAAAAATCCTAGCCTGCCCCAAGGCAATGGTAAGCCTCAGTTTCAAGGAAGCAACCACGTCTGACACATCATCTACGAGCTCCTAGTCCACAGTCGGCCCCGGTCCAGCAAAACGACTCTCAGAGGACCAAATACGAGACATACTGTATGATGATGGAGCCATCAATGACGATTTAGACTACAGTCTTAAAAAAAAGACCTAACGCAGAGGTCAGGCACGAGTGAAGGGGAAGCCGAGGTGGACGATGTTGCAAGTGTGTATAGTACATGTGCCTCACCTGGCCTCCCTCGCTGCCCTGGGTCAACACCACTAGTCACCATCACCTTGTGTGTTCCTTGATGTGAGTTTATTTGGGGATACTACATGTGATGAGTCATTCTCGGGCTTCAATGACATAGGCTCCGATACAAGCAGTGTTGACAAACCGAATACAAGCAGCGATGGTGTTACTAGGTGGGGTTTTACTGCCCCAGCAACACACCCAGGCAAGCGCCAGCATGTCATGCGGCCTGAAGACAAAGGCTACAGTGTTCCCTCAACAATAGGTGTTCGTGGTCAGCCTATATTACACAGAACACATTCATCTCCTGGCATACCCATATACAGCTCTTGCACAAGACGATGGAGCTGTGTTGTTGGGGCCCATGTTGGTGGTGCTCGTGCTGGTGTTGGCCTTGGTGTTGGCGCCAGAACCAAAACCACTGGTGTACTTGTGTGGGAGGATTGTGAGACTTTTGTCTCACAAATTTCAACATTTGATGATACTGATGTTGGTGTGACAGCCTTATTCCCCTATACTGGTGATGATATGGCTAAAGTAGATTATTTTATGACATATTTTGATTAGGAATTTATAGACCATCTTGTGGCAGAGATGAACAGATACACTCACGTCCTCATTGACTCTGGCATTTTACCTGCCTCTCGCATGACACGTTGGAAAGACACGACAAATGAGGAAATGTATGTGTTTTACATTTATCCGCTATCCCTTTTTCAAAATTTCTTTCTGCCTCTCTCCTTACTGCCGTATAGTTGTTTCTTGCATCTTTGTATCGCTGGTATGTTTGGGGGGTTTGGCCTCTTCCTATACTGATTCTATTTTTGTGTCTTTTGGTCTCTGGCCCTCTCACAATTTCTGTCGAACCAATCCTGTTTTCTGGCCCTGCCTCTCTGTTTTGGTATGAATGTTTGTGTGCCTTCCTCGTATATTTTTAAAAATTTGGCATACATTTCATTTACTTTCCTGCCTAGCAACAATTCTGTACAATTACACTCATTAAAAAAATTTTGAAGTCCCCCATAGTGACCTCTCCTTAAATCGAGTTTATCAACTGTTTCAATGTCCCCATTTTCTTCTAGATGATATCTTAAAGCATAATCAATGTCTAACAGGACGTGATCACTCTTTCCCAAGGGAGGAAGGTACTGGATGTCAAATATCTCTTCTTCTTTCCTGGTGAATACTAGATCCAGTACTGACGGTATATCTCCTTCCCTCATTCTTGTGGCCTGCTTTATGTGTTGATACAAGAATGTCTCCAGAATGAGGTTCACAAATCTGCATGTCCAAAAGTCCTCCGTTCTTGCTTCATAGGCCTCCCAGTCTATTGCTTTAAAGTTGAAGTCCCCCAGTATCAACATTCGTGATTTATCTTTATCTGCTTGTGCAATAATATCTCTCATGACCATTATGAGGCCTTCTCGTTTGTCATCCAGTTCTTCCTTTGTCCATGTGTTACTTGCTGGTGGGCTGTAGGCATTTAAAATTATCAGCTTATCATCCTGATTCCAGATCTGCAATGCCATTATGTCAATATCTCGAGGGTTTTCAAATATTAACTCTTACCTTCAGGTGTTTTTTCACCAGTACAGCCACTCCTCCCTTCCTAGTTTTCCTGTCATGTCTCCAAACTGAATAACCTCTTGGGAATATGACTTCATTTATTATATTTCCTTCAAGTTTCATCTCTGATAATGCGACATTATCTGGGACCCTAAGCTGGATTATATCTTGCAACTGCAAAGTTTTTGACCTAACTCCATCTATGTTGGTACAGGCATACCTCAGAATAAGAGTTTAATCCGTTCCTGGAGACGCCTCGCCTTCCGAAAACTCGCATTCCGAAGTTAATTTCCCCATAAGAAATAAAGGGAAATGAATTAATCCGTTCCTGACTACCCCAAAAACCCCACATCAAACTAAATTTTTATACCTAATTTACCTAATTCATCTAAATAAACCTACAAAACTGTGTTCCAGTTATTACTTACCTTGCTGTCGAGTGCTGTAGGCGTATGGAAGATGGTGAGGAGGGGGGAGAGCAGAGGAGTTACTGTTTGGAAGGGGAGTCCCCTTCCATAATCACATCACATAACCCCATGCCTTGTAACACTATGGATACCACTTCTCTTTCTAAATTTTTCAAACCAGCCCCTGCTTGCCTTAAACTCTTTCTTATCTGCATCACTCGTTGCAGGGGTATTCTTTAGAAGGTCTTCGTGCAACACCCTGGCTTTCTCACAAATAATGGCCTCCGAAACACTATCACCCCTCAACTCCTTGTCGTGTATCCAAATTAATAACAACTTTTCCACTTCTTCAAGTATTTGTGGTCTTTGTGCCGTTAATGTTCTTACTCCTTTTGCCACTTTAGCACCCATAATCTTATTTTTCTTCTTAAGTATAGTGCATATTGTTGATGTGGCTTTGTTGTACTGCCTACAAAGTTCAACAACACGTGTACCGTTCTCATGCTTCCGAATGATCTCTTGTTTCTCCTCTATTGTCATCCTCACATGAGCTTTCTGGCCTTTATCCTTACCACTGGCTTTCTTGGGACCCATGGTGAGATATATAATAACAAATTGTATAGACAAATCACCAAAAATCCAACAAAACACTGAAAATCCGCGAGAAGAATTGATGTGGGGGTAGTCACTGAGCGCGAGACAATAATAAACTGAGGGGCGGAGGGGCGACGAACGCGCTAGGTCGGCTGTACGCGTATCAACAAACTCGCGTCCAAACTCGCCTCCCGAAGTAACCCTCGCCTTCTGAGACAAATTTTTGGAGTAAATACACCTCGCCTTCCGAAAACCTCGCATACAGGGACAATCGCATTCCGAGGTACCACTGTATATACAATTTTCAGGAACATGTTCCCTTTTTCTTTGCTCTTTACTCCCCCTTCCACTACTGATCTTGTTGCTTTGTTTTTCTGGGGGGAGCCCCTACGGCTCCCCGGAGCTATCCATGGCTGATATGGTTACCCTAACTATTTTGCATCAGTCGATGTGGGTAGAGTTCTAGGCCTACCGGGGACCACGAGCCAGAACCTGGCCCCCTCAGAGAGGCATGGGGAGCAATGGCCCATAGAAATGCACATGTGATTTGGAGCATTCTATATCTGCCATCGACCGAAACAGGCACCCAGAAAGGTAAGCACCACAAAACAAACCCCTATTCTGGTTAACAACAAAAATCGACAAACGAATGGACAGAACTCCCCCAGGAAAACGAACTAACAAACATGACGTCACACGAGCCACGCCACATGTCTGCGCAGCTCCCCCCTCCCCGGGAGGGGGAAGGGGGAGCCCCAGACCCCCGCGCTGGCGATCCCCGCCCAGTTCCTCGGCTGATGGGTTAATGCACTGTTGTGTGGCTCCAGCTCCGATCTTGTCTCAGTTTCTATAACGCATTGCATACTTTATTCCCAAAAAGACATGGTCACTTTTACCCAAGGGAGGAAGGTACTGAATGTCAAATATCTCTTCCTCCTTCCTGGTAAATATCAAATCTAGCATGGAGGGAACGTCCCCTTCCCTCATCCTCGTAGCTTGTTTAACATGTTGATACAAGAATGTTTCCAGGATGAGGTCTACAAATTTACAGGTCCAAAAATCTTCTGTTTTAGCTTCATATGCTTCCCAGTCTATGGATTTCAAGTTGAAGTCACCGACTATCAACAGTCGTGATCTATCGTTATCCGCTCTCGCTATAATCTCTCTCATTATTGTTATAAGACCTTCACGTTTACTATCTAGCTCCTCCTTTGA